GCACACGCAATTTCCATAAGGGGGCATGCCCTCGTGGAGGCTCCCACATTTGACGTCATTCCCAGTGCCGCTTGTCAATGGTTCGAAATCTCTCATGTATTCTGCTGCCCCGGCTATCGAGGTCCTTCGTTGTTGTTTTTTTTTGCGGTGGAGGGAACCAAATCCAGCTGTAGATCGAATTTAAACGTAAGTCCCCGGCAAGTCCCCAGGGGAAGAAAACTCCTGTCGTATTTGGGCTATCTCATTAGTCTAGGGCAGGCGCGCCTGCTTTTCTAACAGCAGCACTTGTCCTGACATTTCTTGAAGGACAGTGTGTGATTGACCGTTCCGGTTACGTGCGCGATATTGAAAATTGCAGTAGTTAAAGAGACTTTTAGCAATATGATGGCTGATGAATACTCTGATTGCTCATGGCGCTACTGGGCATGGACTTGGCGATTATTTTGTCGTATGATTTCGCACTACGCTACTGGCGGCAATTTTTCATCCAGAAATTTGGTTGGCGACAAAAAGTGCACTTTTACCACCCTTGGCTGGCTTGGCGCTTTTCGTTCGACGGTCACCGCAGCATCATTTACTTGTTGGGCACATCGCATTCCAGACAGTCAATCGTCCGATAGTAGATATCTGCCAGTGCGAAACACTAGCCGGGACTTGTGTCTGCAAGAGAGCCAATCAGAACCATGAATCACGCGGATCTTGTGCTTCGTGGAAAACCAGTTGGGACCAGAAACCAGGGCCTGCTGTTTGCATGGCACAATGGAGGCAGGAAAGCGCAATCAGTCTTCACGGGGAAAACATAGTGAAATCAGGCAGCATAATTTTGTATTTGCTTGTAAAGCCACGAGCTGCATGACCCGGCATTTCACACAAATAGATAGCGGGAACTTTGAACCTGTGTCTGGTGCTTGCGAAACAGTCAATGAGAACCAGAAATGGAAGCCTAGTGTTCACATAAAAGCCCATGGGACCTAGGAGCTAGGAACTGATGTTTACGCGAGAATCCATGGGAACTAGTATCTTGTTTTCATAAGAGAGCCAGTGTGAACCAGCAAGCAGCATTAAAAATTAAGCGCATGCCAGCCAACGCCTCTGCAGCCGCTGGACAGCCCATACTGCAGTGATCTACGGCCCGGCCAGGCCGGCGTCGTGCGCCGTATCAGCCTCCGGCCCGTTAACCCCCTTGACCCCGGCCCAAGGGTGCACTGGAAAGGCCCCGGGCTGTCGGCCGGCCGGCCCAAATCGCCGCCGGCCGCTCTTGTGACGTCAAGGGCGGGGCATCACTGCTCCGCCGGGAGCGCGCGGCGCCTGGAATGAGGTAATATAGGTGCAGATGGCCGGCCGGACTGAGGAGAACGGCCCGTCTTGTGGCCAGATTGCTCGGTAAACAGCATGAGATGAGTGCCTTTTGGCGCTGGGGTGTGGCTGCCACTTAACGGTGCGTGTAAGGTGCGTCTCCGCACCTGGAGGGACGCTGCTCCAAAGCAGAAGGTGGGAACCACTTCGCAGTAGGGGATGTGGTCACCGCTTCATGGCAAGAAGTTACAACTGCTTCATAGCAGGAGGTACAAAAGGCTTTACAGGAGGGATTGATGTGTACCATTCCAAAGCGGGTGGTGGGTATCGCTTCGTAGTAGAATGGTACCGCTTTGCAGCAAGAGGTGTGCACCGTTTCACAGCTGCAGGTGGGTGCCATTCTACGGCAGGAAGTGGGTACCGCCTGACAGCAGGAGGTGGATACTGGTTCACGCCACATGCAAGAGCAAACCCGGCCGTCACTTGTGCAGATCCACATTTTTCAAGCGCAAATAATCTTTTCCGGTGGCTTAGGTAGTAAGAGCGCCTTTATTTGGATTTAGCTACCGGCAGCAAGTGCGTTCAGAGTTGCTTTAAACACTCATCCTTTGACTATGAATGAAATGGCCGGCGGACGGTGGCAGCGGCCTTGCTGAATGTCAGATGACGTTAGGGGGCAGGAAGGAGCGGACGGACCGTGCTAAGCAATAAAGGTACGTTAAAACGTCGCCATCGGCTTCTGCCGTTCACCAGAGCCGTGCTCGTAATCGCTTACACTGTCCGCAAGTTATTATCTATGTTGTCAGAGGTAACCGAGTCACAACAGTTAATACGGCTTGGAGGATAGTCGCTTTTGTACGACATAGATACTTGCCACATACGCGACAACTCAAGAAGGCACTTTGCCAATGGGGAACGTGGCCCTGGAAGTTCGCGATCGGATGGTGGGGTCGAGGCTCAAGCAACAACCACTTGTGGGCTGCCTGATATCAGGTAGTGTGAACTCTATCAACATACTAAAGCAGAACAAACAACGACAAAAAAACTTCACTTAATATAGTTCCTGACATTAATGTTTGCACAAGCGGTGCAGACCCATAGGCTGTAGGGAAAAGCGAAGGTGAGGAGATTACCATGGGGTCTGCTATACCAAAGGCAGCGACACTGCCTCCGCCAGCAGCGCGCGGTGCGTCCGTACACCCCTCCGCATTACATTATCACGCACGTCAAGATCTAATGTGCTGTGCCGCTGGCGCCTCGCGGCACAAACACAATGAGTAAGCCCGTGCGTTCCGTGGCAATGTTCCCTCAGTCCCGTTATTACCCGCTGGGCCGATATCATGCCTCGGCGCGGGTTGCGGAGCCGCACACGCCACTTGTCGCCGGCGCGCCAAGCCGATACAGCATTATTGCTTATGAGTTATGCAGGTGTTGTCTGCGCCCACCAGTGCACGTCAGCCCTTGTGCCAGGCTCGGACGCGAGGCGCAGCCATTTTCGCGGGAAGGAGTGAAGGTGAGTGACCGCGAAATAGGGAGCAGTCGCAAACAGTAGCGAAGTCGGGCTATCGACCACGAGGTGTCCCAAATTGAGCCAAATGGGGTCATAGGGGTCATGCCATCTAATGGGGTCCCCTTCGTCGTTTAGGGGTGTCGTCTGGATTCGAAAATGTATTTGTTTTTTAGATCCTGTTTTGATGTCTCGGGGCTCTTTTTTGCATGTTAGAAACCGATAAACGAGCGTCTTAACCTGCAGAAAAGTACACGCACTTTGTTCCTATGGACCCCTTGACTAAGCCGCTGTTCACAAAGGAACATATTAACGCAGTAAAACTATGCTGAACTGTGGAAACCGGCAGAGAAGCAAGCGACATGCAAAGGCTTTAAGCTACAGGTTCTTGCAATGACGCTGATTGCTCAGCATATCATCAGACACCTAATCGGTGGGCCCTCATCGCTACATGAAATAATGGAAAGGCGTAGCTTTGACAAGTCCCTGCAGATCGCGTCTTAAAGCCATGAAGTGCAATCGGAACTAGGAGAAATTGAGGAGCCCGAGATTGTATCTCGAGGAGCAACATGCACAAAATGTGTTGCGACCTAAAAAAGCCGTCTGATAACAAGTCATCAAAGAAGCCTTGGCCAACCGGGTGGCCGGTTGAATGCCTTTCGTTCGGGTAGTGGGGGTCAATTTGACCTCCTGATATCCCATTCTAAAAGAGCTAGGAGCATGAAATTCATGAGGCAGGTTGTACAGGATCTGTAAATGAATTCACTTGCGTCAAAATCCGAGATCGAACAAGATCGAACAAGATCAAGCTCAAGATTGATTCCAAAGCGCCCCAGACTTCCTCACGCAACTGCCTTGAATGTAATTACTTGTCAGAAGCAAGAGGTCACATGTTTTTTATGGTCGGTGATCTTAATTGTACTTTAAAGGGTCATGATGACCACAAACCTATGAGATTGTGCGATTTTTTAATTTGATTAAGTGTTAGGGATTACGCTAGGCGATACCGCCATAAAAACAAAGGATTGCTCTGGGTCGGTTCAGGTCAGCGACCTAATATGACCTAAAAAAAGTTCATGGAAGACGCCTGTTGCGATGTCTGTCATCACGAAATGCGAGATGAGTATCAGAAACTGCCCGATAAAGCCAACTCTCTAGTAAAAAGGCAGGTCGATTTGGAGCCCGGTCTGACCTTCACGCCTGACCGTCGGTCAATGGGATTTTTGTTTGTCATCATGGATTCGCTTGTTTTGTTGCCTAAGAAATTATCTCAGAGTTGTATGACTTCGTCTAACCCTCTGCGGTCCCACCAGATTGGACCATTCGTTAGAAGTTTCCTTTCGTTGACAGCTCGGACTTACTTCAGCCTGCCTTAGGCCAACAACACTGCGAGGTGCATCGAATTTCGTATACCAAAAAATTCGTCATTTACTTATCCACAATCGTAAAGGTTTGACATGGCCACACCAAGACATTCCAAACCTGTTTTGTATGAGCCATCCGGGGGGGGGGGGGGGTAAATTGCCCCCACCCGAGCGCGAATACTTGACTCACAAAACGTCGGACGCGCTGGATATTGAACATGCATACCCATAAAACGCAACAAATCAGGTGTTTTCATCTTTATCTCTAATCCACTGCTGTTTTTTATGCATGTTGAGATGTGCATGCTTCTAAATGTGTACAGGGCACCTGCGGTTAGGAGTGTGGTACGCCGTTCCGTTTGAGGTGCGCAGGAATACTGGTTTATCGGAGCATAGGCCATTTAGATATCTATCTAGAAATGCCGTGTGCTAGCGAATGCGTTTATATGGAAATGATTCATGCTACCACTACGCGGCAAGCAGCGAGAACCACGAGTTTTCCGGATCTGCCTCAAATGAGGGAACTGCGCTCTGCTCCGAACAAAACACACCAGACAGAGTGGGCTCAACAGCTACCAGATGCTCACACCTCTGTACGGTCTTGGCTACGACTGCGCACCGCACAGCCTTCCGTGATTATCTGGCGCTCCGTCGGATCTCTTAAGCAGGCGCGCCTCACCGATGATGAGGTTTGGCTCCGCTGTCGAACACGTTACCTGGGAAGCACCGCACGCACCGCACAGCCTTCCTTGACTATCTGGCGCTCCGTCGGATCTCTTAAGCAGGCGCGCCTCACCGAAGATGAGGTTTGGCTCCGCTGTCGAACACGCTACCTGGGAAGCAGCCCTGGCGTCTCCCGCAGTCGCCGCAGAACTCCGTCTTCAGGCGCTTGCTGTAGTACAGGCACTTGCCCTGGGCGTAGCAGTTGCCGGCACCCTTCCGCACCTGCAGCCACGGAACAAATGGAGTAGACATGGTGGAGTCAGGAGGGTGGGGTCTGGACGATGGAGCCGAGGACGGTGACGCCTCAACATTAGAGCCCAGACAACGGAGTCAAGACGGTGGAGTCAGAACAACGGAGCTCAGACAGTGGAGTCCCCACGGCTGGGTCAGGTCAGAATGGTGACATCCGGACAGTACATTCTTCCCAGCTGGGTCAGGTCAGAATGATGGCGTCCGGACAGTGCAGTCTGCACGGCTGGGTCAGGTCAGAATGATGACGTTCGGACGGTGCAGCCCCCACGGCTGGGTCGGGTCAGCATGGTGACGTGCGGACAGTGCACTCCCCACGGCTGGGTCAGGTCAGAATGGTGACATCCGGACAGTGTAGTCCACACGGGGTAGTCTGGCAGTAGAATTCGGATGATGGAATCGATGCGATGGAATCAGTACGGTAAAAATCGGACAGCGAGTCATTCGGGGTTCCCTCTATTAAGTCGGCTATCGATTTTAGCACGCTATTTGGCTGGGGTGCGTCTGTTTGTCCGCTTCATTTTGGGTTGCGTTGTGCCTGGACCGAAAGTATGATTGCCAAATTGTGAAATTTGCATATGACGCGCGTGAGCTCGAGACAACGTGCAGAGTCAAGTTTCGTTGGGTTGCGTCGGTGGGTGGCGAGTGACACGTGCAAAGGGGCGTTTTAGCCCAATACTTTTGCACGGGCGTGGCGAAAATGTGACCCGCGCGGAACAGACAGGCAGTTGTTCGAAACCGTGGACATATCTTGATAACCCCCGGTCGGAGCGACCGCGATTGACATGCAATGGTGGAGAGGTGAATGACACATCGCGTGGTGATGATGTGCATTCGCACGTGCCATGTGTCATGCGCAAGCGCGCGGTCAATATGGATTGGTCCGATTTTGACGGTTTTCACATTTTCGTCGCGTCGAAATGTAACAGATTGATCGCTTTCTCGCATGGGCGTCACCAAGTATCTGAGGCTGGAGAACTGAAATCTGTGTCCAAGAACCGGGCCTAAAGTGATATTTTGAAAGAGAAATCGTGAAAACGTGCTTTACATGGGTTAAATTAGAGGTGTAATATTCCATTTGGACAAGACTGGGGGGGGGGGGGAGGTAAGCCGTCCCCGTCGAGTTGTTAAATATAACGACCACGTGGACGCACTGCCTTTTTCCGGCCACCTGCAGATATGACGCAGCTTTTGCTCATTCCGTTTTTAGACGTTTTCGCGATGAATGAATCCAATGAAAAGTTGTGAGAAGGCTTTTAAAATATGTTATGAATATTTGATATTTACTTAACACTCTAAAAGGAAAAGATTGTCTTCACGCAACCCGATTGCCATGCAACAGGCACGCCACGTGTACACAGCTTAGAAAAAGTTTTCAATATCAACCAGGATTCTTTGTTTCTTCAGCCCATGCCTTTCGTTCTTCCAAATTCTAGAAATACTAGGCCTGGCAATCAGCAATGTGCATCAATCGAGGGTGTTGGATCCGGCTGCCCTACTATTGTTTACATCAGTTATGTGTGGAGGAAGGCGGGCTTTGACGATCATTTCATTCGAGGATCATTCATCCTGGAACTGTAAGTTAGCTCTGTCAGTACTGCGCAGCCGATGAGAAGGGACGCTACAAAGATACAGGAGCTTGCGTCATAGATGCCGCCGAATGCTTCTAACAAGCTTTGAAAAGTTTTGGTAGGAACAGATCCGGCATCATACCTTGCCATAAAAGCATGATCTCGCTCATAGCTACGCGCCTTTGCAAGCATATTTCTAAATCTGCAACACATTCATGGCCGAAAATCACTGATAAAAGATATATGGCTGCAGAATAAAGGATGAAAAGTTTTCAAAAAGTGTTTAAAAGTTTGTGCTGTAATTCTCTGTGAAAACAGATTTTGCGAAAAAGAGGAAACATGGTGACGATATAATGCATTACTTGAATCCTTCTCCAAGGGAAAATAGGAAAAGCTGAGCACATACACGAGGCTGACGCAGAAAAAGCTTACGAGTCATGTGAGTTAATCAAACCGAGAGCTGATAGAAATGCCTGGTATCTCTAATAAAAGCTCGTTGTCACGGGAATGTAGTTCGACACGGTTGTTTCTTATTGCGTCGTCCTTCTTCAGTCATGATCTTCGCAACGATATCGCGTGCAAACGTGTGTTTTAGTGCCAGGTTTCTAGACGCCATTAGCGTTATAGTTAAGGTGCGGATGGTATTCTTACCCTGGCCATGATCACCTCTCCTGGATTGGCTCCGTCGTAGTCATCTCCGTATTCGTTCATCTGGTACGGGAGAGCCTCTGGAAAAAGGTTACCATCGTCGGTGCCAACAAACAACCATATGTCGCCGCAGCATGTGGTGCAACGATCTAGTGTTTGGAAACTCCGGCACTGAGAAATTGATGCATGCAACAAATGACACACTCTTAACACAGCGGAAAAGGAGTTTTTTGTCGTGACCAATTCCTACCGTGCAACGAATTTTATTTGGTCATGTTCGTCTTACGGGCCAAACTACTCACACGGCAACGAAGGTTGTCTACCATGTCTTCTGACCGAGTAATTATTAGAACCCTGGTGTTGATGAGGTATTCATGGGGCCGGCAGTGTTCACTCAAGGCGTCCCCAACCGGGGATTTCCCCAAGGGAAGCAAGACTGATGTTATTAGCTAAAATATACAGGAACCCTCAGGTGGTGTTAACAGGTATGAAAAAGCCGACCGGGGTGGCATCTTACCACATACTCTTTCGTGAAGCCCCGCTCTGAGCCGAAGGCATGCGCTTAAGAAGCCAAAACAGGGGCAGAAGTTCCACCCACATTAAGTGTTCAGGCGTAAGCCAGTCACCGGCTGCTTAATCGTTTGGTTTGATGTGCGTTGCGAGAATAAAATCACTGCGTAGCACACTCTGCTGATCTATCAACCGCTTGCATGATTGTGTTTATAGCAAGGAGTAGGCACACGCCTGGTTTGTGATGAACGAGCTGTATTGCTGGCTTGAGGGAAAACCACAACGCGACCCACCCTCAGGGAGAAATGTGTCTGGGAAAGGTTGTGAAGATTTATTTATAAATTGCGTTACCCCGGCTCTTCGCCGCTAGTTACCTGACTCACTGCCTTTGACGATGGCCGCACAAACCGAGCACTCGGCTATGACCGAGCTTACCTGTGCGTCATCACCTTTGTTCATGTGGCAGTCCTTAGTAGGCTGTACGATCTAGCATGCATAGAGTGAGCCAGTTCATTGAGGTCAGAATCGGCGGTAATCCTAAGGTGGTGCGACGATAAGAGATCAGCACGGACCACGACTGGACTTCAGGGCGCTTCTTCATAAACCCGGATGGCCCGTCTTTTGCTTTCCTAACTTTCTCCCGTCGGTTATGGATTTCGTCGATCTTCCCGCATTGCGTCGCCTTCTGCCTTCGTTTGGGCAGGGCTTTGTCCATTCCAGCTAGAAGAGCATGCCTCGTTACCTGTGTTTGACGCTATGTTTCAAGTGTCAACATATTCGTAATGTATCAGTAGAATCGCAGACTGTAATTTTAAGGGAAATACGTGAGATGATATAAATATCATTCTGGGATCACCCAGCCACTTCCACACTAAATTGTATTGCAATTGACCGCACAATTTATGAGCACGGTTTTAGATTGTCCTTTGTTATGAAACGTCGCTGTTTTTAGACGATTTTGTCATTTACCTACCTCGAGAGGAGGACAACAGAAACAACTCACTTATCAGCCGAAAGGTAAACCATAGGTCCACATCATCAGGGTTTTTTTCTGAGTGTCTCACATGTTTTTAAGTAGTTTTGCTTATGTACCTTTAATTTTTCTTGTGGCAGCTTTGGCATATGTATTCCGTTTCCGAAGCTTCTAATGACAATAACTGTAAGGTTCTTTTATATTGGCCTTTTCGCCAATCACCCACACTCGTATCTGCAAAATAATTTCAGCCAAGCGCCAAATTTCGTTTCGCTCAACTGGTCGATAACAGTTACGCTTCCGTCGTAAGGGTAAGCGATAGCACCGCGGGGCATTGCAGCCCCCAAGGGTGTAGCACGGCGGCACGGGCGTGCAACTTAAGCGGCGACGCCGGCTACGCCTCTGGTCCAGAAAATATCCGTTTTTAACAATTATTTGCACTTGTTACTTGACAGATGAGCACGCTTTGAGAGTTTCCGTGGAAAGTTTCCTGCCGCTACCGCTTACTCATAATGCTCCTGGAAGTCTTGCAAGCCCCAGGGGCTCGCGTGAGAAGTTTCAGCTCGTTCCGACGGCTGCGTGGGCTGGCGGTTTGTGCTAAAGGAGGCGCGACGGCGGCTTCGAGCGTTGCACTTTCGAAGGGTGCGCGCGTCAGCGCCAGCGTCTGACATCAACCGCAGCCCTCATGATGTAATTTGCGCCGCGTAACGCGTCGCGTAACCTTACCCTGTCAAAGCTGGAAAGCACCCGCTAACGGCCATTCGTCGTCAAAAGCATCCGCTAACGGCTTGTCCAGCATGTTTTCGCATCACTGCACCACTGCACCACGCACCACACGCTCCATCGTTTTATACTCGGCCGATCTGTCATGTCCATAATCCCCACCAAAAAAGTTCTGCAGATCTGTGCCGATGTGAGGGGTTTCAGTATGGAGGTGGGGGAGCAGGGTGCTCCCTGCCCTTCCCCCTCCCCCGGTGACAACGTCTGAGATTTTAAGGCGACACTGATATCTTATCAGCAGTTATTCGACCAATGGTCGCATCACATTGCATTGCATTCGAGGTGTTGCAACGCAACGCACTTTACAAAAAAAGTCGGCTGCAGGGTCATCAAAACCAAGACAAAGTATAATGTTTTATAATACACGGTTTTGTAATGCGCGGACTGAAATATATGGTCCGATCCCGACAACGGGCGTGAGTGAAAATGAGATAATGGCCGCCCTGATGATAAGGTACGTTTATTCTTTACACACATGGATGAACGCTTGCGGAATATAATCATGCGCGTGCGAGAATGCGTCACGTTTGCGACTGCAAAAGTAATGTACGTGTCAGGTTTCTGCTCCTTACACGCCTACAGTTCACAGTGACAAAATAAGAGACGCTGCGCATAGCAGGACGGCAATCAAGCCACGGTCAGCCGACGAGACGCAGTGATGCTTTGAGGGCTATTCCCTTGTGCCAGTGTAGAAGTGCTGGTTTTGTGAGGACTCAGTGCCTCCGAGTGTGCTGTTGGCCAGGAGTGACCCAGAATTCCCTGAGTACCCCGGAGTGGTCTGTCGTGGGCCGGAGGACGTAGAGTCGCGTGACACGTCAAGGGGTCACGGCACCGTCTCACCCGTCTCGGTCGATGAACCCTGATGGGATGACCTGCATTAAGAGCTATTAGAGAAGGCGATCGCCTTTGAAGCTGCCGCACGAACAGGGTTTGCCCCAGCCAGCGTCGAGCGACTTCTTTGGAGTTGTTGGGTTGTAATATCCACGCGACGACTGAACCAAAATGGCCGCTAGCTTACAGTGTCCTGCTCTTACCGGCCGCTAGCTTACAGTGTCCTGCTCTTACCGGCCGATAGCTTACAGTGTCCTGCTCTTGTCGGCCGCTAGCTTACAATGTCCTGCTTTTACGGGCCGCTAGCTTACAGTGTACTGCTCTTACCGGCCGCTAGCTTGCAGTGTCCTGCTCTTACCGGCCGCTAGCTTACAGTGGCCTGCTTTTACCGGCCGCTAGCTTACAGTATCCTGCTCCTACCGGCCGCTAGCTTACAGTGTCCTGCTCTTACCGGCCGCTAGCTTACAGTGTCCTGCTCTTATCGGCCGCTGGCTTACAATGTCCTGCTTTTACGGGCCGTTAGCTTACAGTGTTCTGCTCTTACCGGCCGTTAGCTTACAATGTCCTGCTCTTACCGGTCGCTAGCTTACAGTGTCATACTCTTACCAGCCGCTAGCTTACAATGTCCTGCTCTTACCGGCCGCTAGCTTACAGTGTCCTGCTCTTACCGGCCGCTAGCTTACAGTTTCCTGCTCTTACCGGGTTCGGATGGCGCTCCGTCTGCTGTCTCGTTTGATTTTACGTGCGAAACTTATGGTCACTTGAGGCAGGGCTAGTCCTGCCGCTGCAGTCTAGAGAATGCTCACAGAAAACAAGTTGTTTGCTTCAAATCCCAAATCTCAAATTCCATAATTTATGCCCTCGCCGTCAGGCTTGGCTGCTTACCCTTGCTTTCTAGACGTTTTCAGGATGGCTTGCCTATCGAAATATTTACAACGCTTCAGGATGTTTCAGAGAAACATGCATGGAATAAAATGTTCCAGGTAGTCTCTTTACTGTTTTGATTGCATCTCCACGATTTCGAGACGGTCCTGATGACTCAGTTTCGTATTCTGGCCCATTGGTAAAAATGCGTACGGCCTTGAATTCGTTTTCTCGGGATGCGGGGACTCAAATCTGTTTACCTTATAGCGTTCGAAACGCTACGCAAACAACCAGTTGCGGGCATAACCTCAGAGTACAGAAGGCCCGTTTTAACCGCACTCCAGTCGTCTGCCACTCCGCTTTCTGTCACCCCAGCTGTCCCCCTTCCGTTACCCTCTCTGTCCGCCTTCCGTCACCCTTGCTGTCCGCCTCTGCTAGGGCGGCCGGGCGACCAGCGCCCCGGCGAGCAGTGCGGACGCGCTCCTTCCGAATCAGCGACATTTCTCGTCACGCGAGCGTCGCCCACGCCTAATGGGATCAGGCCGGTCCGGCGACGCGCCTCGTGCCGACGTGTTATCAGGTCGACGCAAATTGGACGGCCACGCGCTGCGCCCTCCGGCCGCACGCCGCTTCGGCAACGACTCGCCGCCGTCGCGTCACGACTGCCGCGTGCGTGCCACACGCATATAAGCGCGTTTGCCGGGGGCGTGAGGCGGGTGGAAAACATCCTTTAGATCATTTTTCTTTTTGTTTGAAGGTGCTCGTGATTCGCCACGTGCTTGCGACTTGATAGAAATTGCTCGCTCGTGTGGTTGTATGTGGCGGCCTGATACAACACATTTTACGGCCAACAGGGACGGATCCAGAGGGGGCCACGGTACCATGGGCCCTCCCTTGAGCCCCGGAGGGGCTCATTGTCTCAGAGGGGGCCCATAGCCGGCCAAACAGATGCAGTTTTTCACACAAAACGCAACAAAACTGGATATCCCTGGACTTCCATGCGACCAAGAACAGCTGTAGGCGAAAGGTAAGGGCCTATGAGAAGCCAAAAAAAATATTCACTAATTTGAAAAGTTGTGAATTGGAAATGTTAAGGCTCAATACACTGAATAGGGGCCCCAT